CTTACTTCATTCTTGAAATTAATCTATTCACTTGGCTAGTCTTCACACAGGAACACTTTTCTGGTCGAAACACTTGTCTGGAGAGAAAGTATAAATGTTTCTACCAAAAAGTTGTCTGGCAAGGTAACCAAAGCCAGTCCTATTACAGATTCAATTAGCTCTACCCGCCTGTTTTCCCAGTGTTGCCTGTACTGATACCTTCTCCCTGCTCTGTAGCACGTGGGTAGATGAATGGCCTTTAAGTGATCCCATCACCGATAAAAGCTGCTAGTGAGCCAGTATATAAGATTTGTAAACAGAACAAATGAAAACATGGCTCAACAAATTTAAGAGAATAATTATGACAGAAAGAATTAATACCATTTCTTCAATAACAGCGCTTCTATCTACAGTGCTACAATATGAGTATCTGGTATTCTACAGTGTCCTTTAAACCCCATGAGTCCTACCAAAGCCTTCAGCACAGATGAGCCAGTTATTTTCCTCCCATTTGTCATCAGAGCAGTACCAGTATATGTCAGCTACTGTTGCACAGCATAATGTCAGCGTGTTCAATAGAGATGATTTTAACATCATAATACTCTCAACAGTTTTCCCGTAAGACGTAGAGAAGTTGTAACAGAAAAATTCTCTAATTATTGTTTGGATTTTCAGATTTTACATTTTACACGGTTGCACTTCTTGGGTATGTTATATTTTGCATAAACATAACATGCTCCACAGAATGATGAAATGGGAGACAATTCAAAAATAAGATGGAAAGATGACAATGGTCATCTCAGAATGTCATCTGAGAATGAGATAGGTGATTACATAGGCAGTCAGGTGGATGGAGGTTCATAGCATTTAGCATACAAACTCAGAAAAATTACAGACTTCTAGCCAATGAATTGTTAATACATTGTTTTGCTTAAATAGTAATTTTTATCATCTCCAGTTAGAATTGGTGTAACTTTCTCAGGTGAGCAGTTGTGTTTGGTTAAATGGTGTACTTGTCTCACAATGATGTAAATGAGAACATGTTGTAGTACAGCAGACAGAATTAGAACTGGTTTTTATTGAAAGTTATCCTGATGATATGTTTAAATGTGCTATTTATTAAATAGATTATATCGCAAAATGTTCCTTAATGTATAGGTTTTAAAGCTGTTAAACATTTGTGTGGAAGAGTGTAATTAATTTAAAAACTCTCCAATGTATATCTCATTTCACTAACAGTATTTAATTCTTAGATTATGTAAATAAAAACTGTGCATAAGACTTAAGGTTTGAAATGCAGGAGCATGAAACTACTCAACATACATGGCAGTCAAATGGTAGAGGAAATATGAAATAAGACTTTATTCGTAATGCTGGATGGCAAGGCACAGAGAATTCTGCAGATAGGTTTATTACTGCAGAAGAATGCTAGGCTGTCTTTCATGTCTGATTTTCATAAATTTCAAAAACCTTTAGACTTTCCTCCCAAAACATAGAGGAAGGTAGTTTCTTTGGCCTGCTTACTTCCTTTTGCACAGAAGTGATGCTCAATCACTTCCCACTGGAAGCTTTCTCAGGGAGCACTTTGCGTGTCCCCCTGCTGTTCTGAGGCAACGCACTGGCATTTCAGTTCTGTGCTCAGCAGTGGTTCTGGATGAATTGCTTGCTGATGCTATACTTGACCAAAGAGGCTGAAAATTGTTGAACCAAGCTCAAGGTGTATTAGGATTATTCCAGGTTCCTGAAAAAGTGCAAGGCTTTGCAAAGCACTCAAATGCTTGGTCACTGGGGCTTGCCCTTGCCTCCGATTCTTTCTGTGATGGGTTTGGGTTTTTTTTCCTTTACAGTTCTGCCAAAGCTCCTAACTTGGGAGCTTGTACCTTGGTAAACGCCAAAAGCAAAAAGATGTTGGTGTTTTGATGAGGTGATGAAAACAGGCTTGACGGGTACCTCTGTCTGTCGTTGCAGCCCCCTCAGCTGTCAGATGCGGTGATCTCCATGATAACTCAAACCCCCAGACTCTTGACAGCAGCCTGCGAGGAGCAGCATTCAGCAGCTCAAGGGTCTCACGACCAGGTAAGCCAAAAGTAATTGCCAAAGAAGAGCTTACCTCGGATACACAGTTTCCTATCCAACTGCCTGTCAGGTTTTTCTGTGGTGAGCAGTTAGTTCCTTTGCATACATGTGATGATGTACTTCTAACTATGCTGTCATTTAAAGCAACAACGGTCCAGCTCTCTCAAATAGAGATGTTTGACAAAAACTCTGCATTTATTCAGAGTTGGCTTTTAAGCTACAGATTGAAGAACCATAAAGTAGCAAAGTAAAGAAGTACTGTATGATTCTTCAAGTAGCTTTGGTGTTAAGTAATTGCTATGGTAGGAAATAACACCAAAACACATCAGTGGTAAGATCTGTTTTACCACTGTACCTACACCACAGTCAGTACTGCCCAGTCCTAACATTAGACCTGAGCTCTCTTACTCTGCTGGAATGGAGCAGAGACTGTTTCTGTGTTCATGTAACATTCATTGGTACTCTGCAGCCTTTTCAAATTGCTGCTGTGCTCTTTTTACACAACTTTCTAAATTCCTCGATGTGCTAATAACAGCATGTGGGACATTCTGTTTAACATCTTAAGGAGGCACAGAATTCTTCCCCTTTTTGGAGAATTATGGAGAAAACAAGAAAAAACAAGATCTTTGCAATCTTGGGAAAACAATGTGAGGGCTATACAGCTGTATTCACTAATGCTGTGAACAAAAGTAGTATCTCTGGTCTTACACACTTACATATGTGTGGGTTTTATTATTCCTTTTTCTTATAAAGGTTTCACTGGCATTTGTATTGAATTGTTTCTGTGACATGAAGATTGAATTTATTTTGTAAGTCCTTGGTTTCCACGCACCATTTTCTTGGGGTTTTTCTCCTTTTTTTAATCCTTCCCTCTTCTTTCTTCATGAGTCTACTTGGCTATAATGCAGGGTCCTTGTCTTACAAAACAATCCATAGTATTTTGAAAAACCACTCTGCTACCTTTATTAACCAGTCTGACACTTCTTGTGCCATAACTGCTATCAACAATATTTACTTTTGTATCATTGTTTGTACTCTTAGATAATGTTGAGCTAGTACTGGATGATTTTATTGGAGTAATGTAGAGCACTTCTTCAATTATTATTTCCAGTTAACGGCTGCCGTTGTGTATCTGTATCTTAATCACTTTTGATGATATTGATAATAATTTCTCACTGGGAATGTTGTGGGGCTGTATGAATGTTTCATTTATGGAGTAACTTCTATTGACCACAGTTTAAAATCAACTTTATCAGATGATTAAATGAAACTTTCAGTTTTACTGACCAAATTTCTATAAGATCTTGTTGACTGTTGACTGGCATCATTTTATTCATGTCATTTCCCAGTGAATTTATCAGTTTGCTTGTGATTTTCCCTGAGATTAATAACGGCTTAGAGCTCTATAATTACTGACATCATGCCGCTTACCATCTTCAAATATTGGCAGAAAATGCTAGCAGACTTACTAAATTTCTCTGGTGTTTAAAAATGTATTGAAAATTAGCATCATTGAAATGATACTCTTGCAAACACTTTTAGGATAGTAAGGCACAAATTATCTGGGTGTGCTAATTTAAAGTTGTCTTTTAACATCCATTTTGGTAACTAATGGCCTCCTTATCTGTAAAAATGCTTTTTTTCTACTTACAGAGAGGAAAATATATGTTGGTGGTTTGGTTTTTTTTGTTTTTTGCATAGCGTGTTTGTATTCCTTTAAAACATGAATCAGAAGTTGTAGATCCTCTGCTTTCTTGTCTGTTTCATTTAGCCCAAAGTTTCCTACTTGAATTAATTTCTAGCAGAGGTTTGTTTTGGTTAGGTTGTTTGTTATTTTTTTTTAACATGAAATGTATGTTTCAGTCTAATTATGCCCTTAACCCAGAATCAGAGTGTGTTTGGTTTGGTTTGGTTTGGTTTTTGCCCCTCGTTGCCTTTTTTGGATTATTTAATGGTGGCAGTGGGGTAGGGAGAGTCCTTCCACGTGTTCGTCTCTGTACTTTCTCCCAAATGAAGAATTTTCATCTGGTTTACTAGGCCAATGAACTTCCATGCTAACTAAACTTTACATATTGAATGCGCAGGCCCAAAGTACAATTATCCTTTTGGTGTTTGAAAAAGTATTCTAGGAATAAAATTATTATCCTTCTTGCCATGAATGTGATGTGCTGTTCCAAAGGCCAGAACCTCTCAACTTTTCACCAGATACATAGCCAATAATTGATTACCAGTCTTCTTATTTTCTGTCAGTCTGAAGATCAGGCAGATCTCCAGGATCTCTTTCACATTTTCCTTCTGAAACACGCAGCTGGCCTTAAGATTGCCAGAGATTTTGTAACAGGGAGTGATGGTATATGCTTCAGCACTTTTCCACCTCATAGTAACACTAGGACTTTCCTCCTTAGGAGAGAGAATGTCTCTAACCGGTCTAGGGCAAAGGGAGAGGTCAGGTAGAAGATGTTAATTTGTGCCTGTAGAAAATGTACAGGTTTCAAAGAAAATCCTTAGGAAAATTTCATGTAACTTCCTGGCATTAAATGTTATAGAAGCTCCTTATTGGATTTTGGAGAGCTGTTAGGAACAGCAGTGCAAATCTGCTCAGGCAGTTCTGTAGCAATTGCTTCTATGAACCAGTCAGTGGAAACCCAAAAGCAGAGAAAAATGTTAGGATTTTGCAAAGTTATTAAATCATTTTTAGCAGATCTTCCCTTGTGTCTGGGAATGGACCCCAGAAATGTCTTCAGTCCTGTGTTTTACTAGCTTAGATGCCCAAGCGTGGGCAACAGTTTTTATATGATGAGTGTCATACCACTTCAGTAATTTCTAGTAGGTAGGCACCAAAATTATTTCCCCAAGATAGTAGCAGCTTTTGAAAATCATGGCCTAAGTCACTATCAAGACTAGTAAAAATATGTTTTAACAAAATATGATCATGTAGATTTTTGTCCCATGCATTCTTACTGTTATCATTGCTTATTATTGATATGATAGGGGTGACAAGAGTCAGACTTTACCAGCATCATGTGTGATATGTTGTATGAAGGCATAGGGAGTTATAGTACCTTGACTAGAAAACCTTACAGTGTAAAAAGCAAGATGAAAGAGAGATGTGGCAAAATTAGATGTGGAAACATGAAGAGTCGGGCAGAGTTCAGTTAGAAAGAGTAGGAGTATGTATGTGATACCTAGGAAGAAACTGATCACTCTTTACTAAACTGATGTTTATTGCGTGAATTAGTTACATTGAATTTCAGAATGAAATGGATAGGATATAAGAGGTTTCAAACATATCAGCTCATCTGCTGAACAGGTTTCTGTTGTTCAAGGAGTTTGGAATAGGTGTGGTTTGGGAATGCCACAAAGGAAATGTAATAATGCAAGTTGTGACTAGTTTTGGTGGAAGTGCACAGGCACAGATTAACGTAAGAAAATGTTAAGTATTCTTTTTAAAAAATATTTCCAGAACACTGGTTTTTTTTTGGAAGCATTTCAGAAGCATTCATTTGGTGTGATAGGAAAGAACTTTTCCAGGTCAGCATTAAGATGGTTGATTTTGGTGAAATATCTGTCTTCGTTTTATGTAAGAAGAATGTTGCATTTTATACAGGGAAAGTTAAAAAAAAAACATCTTCAAAAAGTTGGCTTGCAAGTACATGAGTTCAGAAGGTATTATAATACACCCATGCATACTTGTTCCTTAACAACTTTTATAATTTTTTTACAATTAGTGTTTTTTAGCAGTTTAGTTCCATTTATTTAGGACTTTATCAGTGGTATTGCACAGGCAGAGAGAGAAGCTTTTCGTATGGTAACAACAGATACTGTTGGCACTAGATCCCACCAAATCACTTTGTTGGTCAGTTAGATTTATGAACTAGAAAATCAAACTACTTTAAAACAATATCCTTTATAATATAATTGTTGGTTTTAGTTAATAAACTCTATATTGATTTTGATTTCTAGGAATTGTTTCTCAAGTATTGTCATCACTTACACATGAACTGTTCCCTTTGACTACTCAGCATTTGTTATTCATAGTGTGCAGTTGTTCTTAACACATAGCATTGTGTCTGTTCACTGAAAAATAATGAACTGTCGTCATAATATTTTTTAAAATAAGTGTATTTTAAAATAACGTAAAAATAAACATTCTTTAGATTTGCGGCTATTTCAAGGCTAAAGCAGAGTTTTATTTATATATTCCCTGATGCTTCTCTTGCTACCTGGTGAATCATAGTTATTTGAACTCTCTTCTTATTCATGAAATAGCACTTAATCAGTATTTTGTGATCTTTGAGCAAAATCAGAAGAAAGTAAATCTAGCTAGAACATGAACCTGTCTGTTAGGTAGCAGTTTTTATGCCTTTACAGTGTGCTGGAGGGATGAGGAAAGTACTGTTCCAGTCATGGCCAACTTTGAGATACTCGCTTTGGGCTTTCCTTTTATACAGTAGTGGTTTAAACTACTGCTCGTGGAGTAAGATTGTTGCTGGGTTGTTGATTTGGGCTTTTTGTCTTTTTTTTTAAAAAATCTTTTTTCTGTAACACACTTCAGGTTCCAAGGTAGGTTTTCAGTGATAGTGAGGAGAGGCTTGAGGATGCTAGCATTCCAAAACTACAATGGTAAAATGCATTGGAAACTCAGGTATGCCCTTGTACAGGTACTGTACAAACACTGTGTGTGTAGAACATTCCTGAGACATAGTGTCTTCCACAAACTACCTGTAACAAGGGATTGTGAATGTGCAATGAATCTGTTGCTTTCCAAACAGAATTAGGACAGTTTCCCTCTGAAGAATAGGATTTTCTGCTTATTAAAGGTTGGTTCACTTGGTGCCTTTGTTTTAAACTGAATTCTTTTATCATGTTATGCTGTAGAAATGGAATTACTAGAGGCAGTCTCGTTAAACATACTTCTGAATATTGGAACATCTCATGCATTCGACCCACACAGAAACACAACATATAACTGTTCTTTCAATAAGTTGTTTCTGTATATA